AGAAATCATACTACAAACACCAGAGAGAAATCATACTACAAACACCAGAGAGAAATCATACTACAAACACCAGAGAGAAATCATACTACAAACACCAGAGAGAAATCATACTACAAACACCAGAGAGAAATCATACTACAAACACCAGAGAGAAATCATACTACAAACACCAGAGAGAAATCATACTACAAACACCAGAGAGAAATCATACTACAAACACCAGAGAGAAATCATACTACAAACACCAGAGAGAAATCATACTACAAACACCAGAGAGAAATCATACTACAAACACCAGAGAGAAATCATACTACAAACACCAGAGAGAAATCATACTACAAACACCAGAGAGAAATCATACTACAAACACCAGAGAGAAATCATACTACAAACACCAGAGAGAAATCATACTACAAACACCAGAGAGAAATCATACTACAAACACCAGAGAGAAATCATACTACAAACACCAGAGAGAAATCATACTACAAACACCAGAGAGAAATCATACTACAAACACCAGAGAGAAATCATACTACAAACACCAGAGAGAAATCATACTACAAACACCAGAGAGAAATCATACTACAAACACCAGAGAGAAATCATACTACAAACACCAGAGAGAAATCATACTACAAACACCAGAGAGAAATCATACTACAAACACCAGAGAGAAATCATACTACAAACACCAGAGAGAAATCATACTACAAACACCAGAGAGAAATCATACTACAAACACCAGAGTAATCTGGACAGCCCCCACAGGCAAAACACAGCTTCTATTACATACTTAGCTCCTCTTCAAAGTCGGCATCGCTGTTTTCCAAAAGATGAAGGAATTTTCTTACAGTCTTAACTGGCGGATCTTGCATGGAGACTGTGTGAGGAGGAAAATTATATTATGCTTCAGACAAAAAACCTGTCCCTTTGTCAAAATTTACTGTCATCTTTATAGCAGAGAAAACATTGCAATTTATGTAACCTTGCCTGCATGAAAACTTTTCCTATCAAAGAACCAAGAGTAAAAAAGAACGATTTACATACTGAGTTTTCTGTAGTCATTTTGGGCCACATTAGCTCTCAACCAAGCCTGGATTTTCACTATGGCAGAATTCTACAAGGAAACAATTTATCAGTTGGTGATAGTAACAATGGACATCTACTAAAAGGTACCTCATTTTACACCAAGTAAGAAATAATTATCTGTTTGCCCACGCTTCTCTGTTGGCCCAGGAGGAGTATATTGCCAATTAATTACATGAAATGAGCAGGTGTGTATGGCAATAGGATTTTAAGGTTCAACTTACATGGTCCTTGAAGTATTTTCTTCTTTCTTGATATTTCTTTCTGGCAAGTGACATACTCACCCAAGATTGAATCTAACAAGTAAAACACTCACAATAATCAGACTGAGAGTCAAATCAAACTACACACCAGTGACAAAAGTGAAGTGGTCGTACTAAATCACAGTTTTGATATAGTTAAGACACCTTACCTTTACAACTTCCTCAGGATGACTGTGCAGTTCATTGAGCCTCCTTTTGTATTTCAATTTTTGAATAAATCCCCTTACAAATGCCTAAAAAAAATTAAGATTGTATTGCAGATTCAGTAAACAGTTCGTTTCTAGGTGTGAGCAGTCCTGCAAATGGCTGTTGATATTAATGATACCCGACATTTCAGCAACCTGAGCAAAACTAATCCCAAGACTGATGATTTTCCCCCCAGAGTGTCAAAATGTTGTTTACTTCTACTGACAATCAGAACTACCATCATTGGATGATTGGCACAGACAAAAACATTGCAGATTCTCAAACTAGACCAGCAACTAAATACTGGTAGAGTCATTCATACTCCCCTCTATTCTAGAGCAGACTCTGGTTTGTCTGCACTAGTGTAAATAAATTTTAACAATCTCACAAAACACTGCAATCATTAAATATAGTTTGTAAATCACTGGCTTTTTGGTGGAAAAATCTTGATTGCTGATATGGTATATCTCAGAGCATAATATATGGTATGTTAATCAAAGTTTTCAATACAATGCAGTTTTCAGAGAAAATAACTTTTCTCTAAACCTTACAGATATGGCAAGGCTGCAATTATATAATTATATACAAATGATAAGTTAAAAAAGAACATGCAACAAATGAATAATAGCAAAATAGAAAATCAAAAATCTAAATATCTAAAATTACCAAGGAGGGTTTGCTAACCAAACACATATTTAGAACAGTTCTTGAAACCAATTGCAGCAGTCTCTGGATAATCAAAAGAAAGCCTCTTTGACATTTTGAGAACATTATCCTGAAAATGATTTCTTAATCTAACAATGTGTACCTAATAACACAACCGTGGAAGAGTCAGACCAGGAAATCCTTGCCACCCGACAAAAGACATTTTAATTAAATAACCTAACCTGTATTTTAATGATTGCTGGTAGATGTTCCTTTATGAATGTCTGCCTTTCTTTGTAAGCCTTTCTGGCCAGGTATCCTTTCCAGTTCGATTGCAGCTTGATAATCAAGGGTTCATTTGACTCCATGTGGACCCAACGGTCATATTGGATTGTCACTCGTGATATCACACCCTGTTAAAGACCAAAATAATACAACACAATAACAGTCTTATATAAACTATCTACCTTTTGGTGATGAAAACTAATTTTCTGACTACATTTACACTCATGAACCCAAACAGGTGGGACTCTGCTCATCAACCCTTTTAACTTGCTTCTACAGCAAAAAAATATTGCAAGGACTTCTATTTAGGATATTAACCTATTGACGTCCAGTGCGCCCACATGCGCCCATGGGGACCCACACCCTTTCTACGCCTTGTGATGTCATCACTTTTAACTCTGGAGCACGACTTTGAGCACGTACTTGAACAGGTTGAAAATATCTTACAAATGATACCAGAATGAGTGCAATTGAGTGAAGGAGATTGGAGAAATAGCCAAAAAACCATGTAACTTTGACCTGAAAATCTGCACAAAAATCTTGTTCCATTACCCACCTACCTTTCTGAGCATGTGCTTTGAAAATAATGAGTAGTTTCCTAAAAAATCTCTACACCAAAATGAAGCCTACTAAATTTCCAGCAAGTGAGGAGAAACTTCAGGCAAGGAGAGGGCAAACAAAGGGCAGGAGAAAGAGAGAAAAGTAAAAGTCATAAGTGGGGCATTACTTTTCAACCCAAATTTTGCTTTCTGCGCGTGCCCGAGATTTTCAGGCCACCATTTTGCATTTGGATCGAAAGGCCGTCAAGTGTACAAGCTGTCAGGGGGTTTTTGGTAAGTTTGAGCTTTTAAAACCACAACAGTGACCCGAAATCTGCTCGACTAGCTTCAAAACACAGTTTTCCACAAAAGCTGCGGCCATTAATGGGTTAACTAAAAGCAACCATTAGTTTACATTTTCATGAGTGCTTATTATCCAAGCATTCTGCACAAGTAATGCAACAGAATCACAAAAGAAGGTATTAATATGAAATAATAGATATTCACCTGAATTTCCTCTCTGGTTAGCACAGCAGAGTTAGTGATCATGTCAACAGGTTTCTCCCAACAACTTTCACTATTCTCAGTATTGTAGTAATACAAATGACCCTGAGATGTCTTCTGCTCCAGCCATGCAGAGTCACTGCCTACAATTAAACAGATAAAGAACAATTGAGAGTTACCAAAACTAACATTAAAAGAAAAGGCATGGCTAGAGTTTTTATAGAACCTAAAACCTTGAAAGAGGAAAAATGTGTGGTTGTATAACCTTAAGAAATCGCTATCTTAGGATCCTGATTAAAAAATCTTACAGAATACATAAAACAATAATGAAGATTATGCCTGACAATAGTGATGAGTAGGAGATGGTACATAAGATGGTAACAGTTTGCTTCAAATTAAACTTACCTGCTTCTTTCTTGCTGTCTTTGACTTTTTTTAGCTCTTCAAGCTACTGCTGAATACACTGTGATGTGACACCATATATGTTTGCTCTTGGGTAGGTAAGAGCTGCTATCAGAAGCCTCTCATCTTGTGCACCAATTGCTTGGTTGATTGCAGTTACACCCTTAGCCACTATAAGAAAGAAAAATTTAACTTTGACACTATCCATGTAAGGAATAATTACTTAAACCTAACTTATCACAAACAAATACTTACAATGTTGAGCCTCATCAGAGTAACGATTGGCACTGTCCAAGCTTCTCTGGATCTCATCATGCCACAGTTCAGCTGTGTCTTCATCAGCTTTCTATGGATTTTAAAACATATGGGCTATTCAATCAATTACCATAATTTCTGGCCGTTTACCCACACTGGCCTATTATTTCATACAGGAAAAAAAAGTCAACAGATTACCTGCACTGGTGGATAAGCTGCACCTGAACTATATCCATTTTTAGTTGTCGTTAAAATACCTTTTCAGCTTGAAATTAGATAAGTTTCACACCTATTATTTTCAATATTCTATTGATGCGTGTGGGGTTTCAGACTACTGTCCACAATTTCTCACAAAAATTGATATCACCGGTTCTACTGGGTCTAACAAGTCCCTTAAAAACAGGAAATTTTTCTTTAGCTCAAGCTAGTGTTAACTGGAAATTTGTTTCTGATGTGCCTGATATACTTGGATAATTTTTGTTGCCATCAAGGTTTTGTTTACATGCGTGCCAATAACAATTTGTTCGTTGTGCAATTAATTATACGTGAAATAAACTTGAGTTGGCATCATCTTTTTGTGCCACTCTTAATACAATAAAATTCATTTGAGAGGTGGAAACGCAGGTAGGTGAGAATTTTTTTTTAATTCAACCACCAGTAGATTTTAAAATTGTCACATAACCCACACCTCCCTATTACCTGCAGTGGCATGTGTTTAATGCAAAATCAACAGATTACCCATGGGTAAATAGCCAGAAATTATGGTAATCAATCCTTTATTTACACCTATGAGCTGAGTCAAGGGCTGGCTAAATTACAAATAACCTGACTCAAAAACTTGTATATATAAAAAAAACTAAACAATCCTAAAATAATGAATACAGAGAGATGCAAATTGGTAGAAAACAATACTAACTGCTATCGCTTTAAACTATATACAGCACAATTCAATTAAAGCGAGTGTCACACAGCACAGTATCTGTGATCATTTGCTAAAAAGTAACCTTAACCTATTCTTACCGCTGCTTTAGCCATCTTCTGGGAGTGGAGAAGCTTCTGATACAGTTGGCTGTTGTCAGGGTCAATACCTGAAAGTTTGGCAGCATCAGCCTGCAAGGCCTGTAGAGTACTTTGGTGATCTTCCTTATCAATTGCCTCATTGATGACTGCTATGGCAGATATCACTATTACAAGAAAGAGAAAAATACTACAGTTAAAATACCCAAATTACCATAAATTATCATGAATTAAGAAGTTTCACATTCATTCTCTTTGATATGTTTTTTTGAAAGACAGTCTTTCTTGTGTGTGATTGTTCTCCATATGTCCTGTGACCAAACTGAGTTCAACAAGAGAACACTTTCAGGAACCGTTTGGAGAGAGATTATACCCTCAAACCTTAAGGTTTTCCTCAAGCTATGGAAGCAGAAAACTGTTCACTCCCTGGAACAAATAACACCAAGTAGCAAATTTGTGAGATAACTTTCCTACCAATTCAGGGCCAGTGTCCAGAGACATTAGTCTGAAGTCAATGTTGGAGGTTGTGATATCTTTTAGTCATTTGGCTCAATTCTAAAATGGCCACTGATGATAAGGGTACATGGGGCAACAGGTTTTGAATTCATAACTTGTTCCTCAGAATTGGTGCCAATTCAGGTAACAATAGGTTTGAGACACTCACACATGCAGAGACTTACGGTCATGCTCTTCTTGAACAACAGTGTTCATATAGTCCACACAAATCTGGATTTCGAGCTTTGTTAGATCGTCCTTGCCGACTCCACAGTCCTATGTAAGTGCAATAATTATGAGAGGATTCAATAGACCACTTTCATAAATGGCTGCCGGATTAATATTCTTTTGTTTAAATTTAAATTAGCCCTTCTGGCCTCGCTTGAGATAATGTATTCTTTTGAATTTTGTACTGGATAACGATGCTAGTAGGGCTAATTTAAATTTAAACAAAAGAAAATTAATCCGGCAGCTATTTATGAAAGTGGTCTATAGTTATCCCTTTCATCCTCAAGGTAAATAGATAGAGAGATATGTGGTTTACTAAGAACTCTTGTAGTATAAATACTGAATCATAGGTCTGGCCAGCAAAGAAGAATAAAGCATTTACAGAAATTATATATCTAAGGAAAAATTGCTTGCATCAGCAACTAATAAGCATATGAAATGTAGCTCTTAAACCTGTTGGTTGAGGTGCCACATGATATTTGAATTTCCTTCTCTTGGTCTTAATGCGTAATTACATTGAGTATCTACTATGCAACTTCTAACGGGCTTGTACAAAGGGTTATCTGGTTTAAGGCTGGTAATAAACCTTTTGCCATAATCTTCCTGTCTTGAAGTGATTGTAAATTACTGACTGTCAGGGATTCAGTATATGATAGCTTAGGAAAAATAATTTTAAGGGTGCACTATTGCACTTTTTTGATGGCATCTGATAGATAAAGCGGCAAGTTTGAAAACAATGCACAGGTATTCTAAGATTGATCTTACAAGAGAAGTGTAGACTAGAATAATATATGTACCTGGTACACCACAGCACCTGAGCAACCTGAGTGCATAAAATCTTTAATTGGCTCTCTTCACCATAAAGTCACAGTATACCACTCAGGTCAGATCTTCAGCTATGTAAACCCCAAGCAGCTTGAAGGAACTGACATGGTCTAACACGTTGCTGCCCATGGCAGCTGGCAGACACTGATAACTATTATAGTGGAGAAAGTCAACCAACATCACCTTGCATTTTGCTGTATTTAGTTGCATGTTATTAGCCCAAGTGAACTCCTGAATGTCAGAAACTACAGTCAAGTACAGAGGGGGGCCATTTCTAGAGATAATCTCAATAGCTGTCAAGTCATCAACATATTTTGTCCAAGGGTACCAATCACACAGAAAGTCATCAACCATAATAGAGAATAGAATAGGTGACAGCTTTGTCCCCTGGGGGATGCTATGATGACAATAACTTGACAGTTTGTGTCCAAAGTTTGTGTAGCAAAGTTACTTCTCCCAGAGACCTTCAAAATCATAATTTGCAAAATAATGCAAACACAATTCAACCCACCTGTGCTTTCTCCTCCTTGACAGAGATCAAGTGACTTAAGTATCTGTTACAAAGACTCTCATCTACTGATGTCAAACCAGCATTAGCATGGTTCATTTTTTCAATTAACTGCGTGGAATTTTCATTCTCAATGGCTTCATTTATGGCTGCTACAGCTGTCAAAACTGAAAGTTTGTGTAATGTAAGTTTTTAACAAGTCAATTTTCTGTGGGTGGTGCCCATTAAACTATCAAACAGATCAGTCAATCATGCAGAGTTTCACTTATCAGATGGTCACCTGTGAAATTTACCACTTGTGACAGTAGTTGTTAAATTTCCTGCAACTTTTCAAAAATCTTGAAAATTAACAGAAGATACATAAAACTAACTGTTTTAAAAAACTATTTTACTCATTCATATTGCTGAAAAATAGAGAATTAACAGTGCTATTCTGATCTGTGCCCCACACTCAACCTTTTTCAAGTACCAAACTCAACGTACCTGACAACTGATCACATACAGCCTGATGTGAAAGACAAGTTTCATCACTTTCCTGCAAAGAAATAAAGAGAAAAAAAGAGAAAAAAAGAGTTTGTTGCATAACTGTGTCATTTTAAAGCCATCGCATTGATTAGCCTCACAATCAACAAGAAAACAGTGGTGACAGAAAAAAAGTGCATTTTATAGCAAATCAATTTTCATCTGTTTTCAGAGCTACTTGGCTGCAAAGTATAAAATCATAAATTTAGTTCATGAAGTACAATACCTGTTCCTATTTTTTAATTGTGCAAAAAGCATCATAAAAGAAAGGTGAATGTTGAACATGTCAATGAAAGATAATACTTTGCATTTAAGGTCTTTGTTCCCAAAGGCTTATTGGAAAGGAAACAGAGAAAGAAAAAAGAAAACATTTTAAGAGGGATAAGGAATAAATTTATCAAAGTCAAGATGATTAATATGAAACTTACTTGCATTGCTTGTTGCTTAGCTTTAAGAAGTCCATCATGATACAGAAAGGCACTCCTTGTCAGAACTTTTGGAAACATCCCTTCAGGTTTTTGTATCAGGGTGTGAGTTTCTTCTACTGTACCCATATCTAATGACTTGTTTATACAGTGTACAATATCCTCCACTGAAACAGGAAAAAAAACAATCAAGGAGCAAGAATTCAATAAAAAAATGATTAATTATTAACTTAATAGGGAGCAAATTAAAATGATATTAGAATGCAGCAAGTTTGGAGATGACCTCAAATTATTCCTAACATTATCCCAAAGGTTAACCTGAGGTAAAGTTCCATTGTGCAAGTAAAATCTTTACTCCCCTGCCTGGTAGTGACTACTCAAACAGTGCCTATGAACACCAAGTACATAGTTGAGCTAAAACACGATGTGCCATAAGGGTTGCTTTAAATCACTTGAAAGGAGTTGTGGGTTGATGTGTCAAAAATACAAAAAAATTTTTTTTTCAAGATTTGTATTGAGCTAGGATCATTGGCTGAGAGAAACCCAGTTTGGTTTTAATTTTAACTGGATTGAACATGGAAAAAAAGGAGTTCTCACTTTGTCTGTGCTGTTCAGCTAGTTCATTAGCTGCATTGACTGCTTCCTGGATTTCTGTTTGGGTGAGATCAACATCAGTGAGACCAGTTTGCTGCCAAAGTAAACATGTAATTGTATTAATAAGCATCATAAAAACAAGCAAAGTATACTGATCATCACCTGTAAAAAGTTTACAGCAAACTATAACTGATGTCTAGGACAGAATTAATCCAGGATATGACTATGCATAAATAAAGTGAAGCTCAGATTAAACAAAGTCCCCTCAACTGAGAAGGCTCTTCCATTCATTTCTATTTACTTTGGAAGTGTGCTCAGGAAAATGAAACTATTAATGATTAACAACAAGCCTATAGAGTATTCGTGTGGAGGCGCGGTGGCCTCATGGTTGGTGCACTCGACTCCAGATCGAGTGGTCTGGGTTCGAGCCCTGGCCGGGACATTGTGTTGTGTTCTTAGGTAAGACACTTTACTCTCACAGTGCCTCTCTTCACCCAAATGGGTACTGGCAATTTAATGCTGGGGGCAACCCTGCAATGGACTGGCATCCCACCCAGGGAGGAGTAGAAATACTCCTTGTCGCTTCATGCTACAGAAATTGGAGTTAAGCACCAGCCTAATGGGCCACTAGGCTCGTAAACAGACTTTACCTTACCTATAGAGTATTCAGCAGCTATAAGCATATTTAATGAAAAAAAAAAAGAAGTGTGAACATGTGACTCAGTATGGATACCACTAGGTTGATCAACCAATATGGCTGCTGTTTTACTCATTTGGTACATGTATGCAGGGCTCGAAAACACCCCCGTCCGGTCGTCTGGCACAAGTAGATTTTCCCTTCGGGCAAGTAACTTTCTCTCCTTCCTTGCCCAATGGGCAAGGACCCAGTGGGCAAGCCGTTCGCCCACTAAATTTTTGATAACGATTATGAGAAGAAAAGGTAAGCTTTAGGCCCAAGGGTAATCAAGTGTTTAGATGAAGCTTGACGAAAATTACAATTTATAGCGTAGTTTTGTTGATTGCGTGACGCGTGCTCACGGCTCAGAAGTGGTTGCCTAGCACGTGATCAAAATCTTCCCCGATCAAATTTCTTTCCAGGATAAAAATAGCCATGTTGGGAACAAAAACGCTGTGTTTATTTCTTAATTGTAGCAATTTCCCACAAGAATGTTTCGGTTTCTCTGTAACTCAACAGCCATATATTAATTAAAACTGTAGAAATTGTTCATGAAAACTGAGAAGTTGCATATTTCTACCATGAAAATGAAGCTAGCCCTTTGATCACACTACCTCAAGGTGATTACAACAGTGTTCATCCATGATGTTAATTATTACATAGGGTAGAACTTCATAAAAAGCAGAATGACGAGGTTAAAACTTGTGGAAGCATTACAATAAGTTATAATGGCCTAAACATGAAAGTGATCAGCACTAAGAGGACTACATTCAAAATGGCTTTATTACATTAAAATCCATTCTTGGGTTCATGAATTATTAATTAGTTTGAAAACTTCGGCAAGCAGGGAAGTGCCCCGGGCAAGCAAAAGTTAAGGGTTACTTGCCCAACGGGCAAGGTGTAATTCAAATATTTTTCAAGCCCTGGTATGATAAATGTATGGTACATCGTGGCCACCCAGGCATAAAGTGCAAATGCTCTATTACTAACAAGGAAGTGCTGAAAAATACCTTTTGTTTTAGATTTCTTTTCTCCTTTAACAACTTCATGTACCATGACCCATTTTCTTTGGTCAAACCTGTCAACTTAGCTGCTTTGTTGGATAAAGCAATTATCAAAGCCTCTTCATCATTATTGTTGACAGCTTGGTTAACTTCTCTGACAGCCTGAATCACTTCAAGAAAAATAGGTAATCAAATAACTAAATATCTTTTAAATAATCAAGAGTACTCTGAAATGGGAAATAAAATGCTCTTTACAGCAATAACTGCTTGATATTAAAGAACTACTTGTTATAAGCTTCAGGATAAACTGAAATGTTTTTGCCATCGTAAAAAATTAGCCCTAATATGTCTATACCTGTATTTGATTAAATTACTTCAAGTCATTTTTCAGACTCACATGCTTCCTCTGCCTTCTTTCTTCTGATCACATCATTAACCTGACTAATGTTTCCTTGAATTTCAGCCTGGGTTAGGAGTGTGTCATATACATCCATTCCCTCACTACTTGGTGACTATTAGAAGTACAAAATAAAATCATAATTTATCATTAATGACGTATAAATCACTAATTAACAATTCCTGGAATCTTTTGAACCAAGCGAGTGTAGTCCTGAGAATGACCAATGTCCATAGTTCCTTCTCAGAACTGCACTCACTTGAATGCTCACACTACACTATCAATGTGTGAACCTAGGGTTCAAACCATTTACTGTTATAAATAAAATAAGTGAATTCCAATGTATTTAAATTTCAAAACCACTAATTTTTTTTTAAAAAGTTGTCACCAGAATCAAGTCTCAAAATTGAGAAAGTTAAATGTACCCATTTTTCCATTATTTTTTTTAATTTGATAACATTGTCTGTATTGGAACTTTTTCCATTCAAATAGGTTAAAGAGAATTTTTTAATTAATCTAACTTTTGAAATCATAGAATCCTGTTTTCCTAAAATTTACCCCCTCCCTCCCCCCACTGTGCAAATTTGACTCTGACAAAAGCTTGCAAATTAAATACGAGTTCTAATTCATCCAGTTATAGAATAAATACAAGCACACTTGACGTGGTTACCGTAATCAGCATTAGTTCACTTCCCTTTTTAATAATAATAAGATTTGTAATAAAAGCATTTGTCACTTATCAAAATTAATTTGTACTTAAAATTGCTATCTTTGGTGGGGAAACCACCAGGGTTTTAAATGTCTACAAACTTCCTGGCTGCAAAGTGTTTCCTGCTTTTAGTTTAAATTTTCTGAGTGCCTGGTATGCTCACTATTCAAACCTGTGCTAAATGTCCAATACAACACACCTTTGCTAGAGCTTGGGCAGCCTTACTAGACTTAGCTTGGTAAAGGGCCTCCTGGTACCCTTCTGCATTATCTGCACTGATGTCAACTAAGTGTGCACTAGGATTGCGGAGAGCCTCAAGAGTGCCATTTGCATCTTGGTGGTCTATTGCATCATTGATGGCAATCACTGCAGCATGCACTGTACAAACCAATAAAATTATCTCTTGATATACTTTTCAAGACAATGAGGAAAGAAAATTAAAGAGTGAAAGGTGAACTGTGTAAAGTATGCCATTCTAACAAAGTTGCTTCCTCCAGAAACTTACATGCTGCTTCATCCACAGGCATCTGAAAAAAAGAGAAAAATCACAGACATTTAATGATTGGCTACAGAAATATCATCAATATGCTTGAAAACCATTTAAAATCTATTGAACTTTAAATATAAAGCATATCTGTATTAACACACCTCACTCTCTAAAATTCCACCTATCTTGCTAAAGGCTGGCATTTGAATTCCGTATTTTTCTAGCTCCTTCCTCATGGCACTGATCTGTTCCTCTGTATAAAAATTAGAGCAGATTGAATTTGTAAGAAAGTTTTAAATATTGTTACAGTAGTTAGTACTGCAATAAAGGGCTTGAAATAATGTCCACTCCACAGAAAAAGTCTAGCAAGAGATGGCTTTGGTCTGATTAATTTGGATATATCAACAAAGTTGAAATGGTAAATTGGCCACCGTAACTATTATAAAAGCTGACGTTTCCAACGTTAGCCCTTTGTCAGAGCGAAATGAGGAATTGTGGGTTGTGTGTGCTTGTAAAGGCAGAAAATGGAGCTACGTTATTGGTGGGAACATGGCAACGAGAAAAACAAGTCAGAATAAATTAGTGGAATGAAAAGCGTTCGTTGATCCCTATGGGATTTAGACTGCCGGTTTGAAAGATGAGCTTGTTACTGCTGTTATGCGTGATGTAACGCACTCATTACCTAGATCCCGAGAGGCACTGCGAGTTAAGAAAATACATGTGCTTGATCAAAGTGGGGAATCGTTTCAGCGCCCGTTTGACGTCATCATTTATATTATGAGGACACAAACGTAAGTTTTTTTTTGGTTTCGTTTCTTGTTTGTCAAGCCTTTTTCCGTATTTATAGTTGTAATTTCCTTTGTTTCCTTTTAGTTTTCGAAACCGTACAATGTTCGTTCAAGATGGTAAAGTCCATTTCATAATTACAAGTATGCGTGTTCAAGTTTGTGTTGTCGTACCGTTTTATGCGTGCACAGAGCTTTTGTTCAAGATTTTTACGGCTTTCCGTGCTACCTAAGTGCAAGGAAAGACTGCAGATTGCCATATGTTGCTTAGAATGATTAGGTAAATTAAAATGCCTAGCGACTGGTTTCGATGTATCCTTGTCATTCCTTTCCACAGGCATCTGAAATTATGCTAGGCATTTTAATTTACCTAATCATTCTAAGCAACATATGGCAATCTCCGGTCTTTCCTTACACTTAGGAAGCACGGAAAGCCGTAAAAATCTTGAACAAAAGCTCATCTTTCAAACCGGCAGTCTAAATCCCACAGGGATCAACGAACGCTTCTCATTCCACCAATTTATTCTTGCTTTTCTCGTTGCCATATTCCCACCAATAACGTAACTCCATTCTCTGCCTTTAAAAGCACCTACAACACACAATTCCTCTATTCGCTCCGACGAAGGGCTAACGCTCGAAACGTCAGCTTTTGGAATCGTTACGGTGGCCAATTTACCACTTCCATCTTTGTTGTTATATCCAAATTTATTTGGCTGTTAAGAGACTACAGTTAAAATTTCATCTGGCTTTTATGCTGAAAAAAGGTTCAAATGAAGGAAAATTGTGAAGGCATTTTTAAAAAGACACTATTCTGGATAATCATATTCAGTGTGGAAGCCTTGGTAATACTTTTTGCCAATATTATCACCATTATCGTGTTCTGGAAAAGGAGATTTCAGTTGCGGAAAACATCTGTTGTCTTGATAAACCTGTCTATCGCTGATATACTGGTTGGTGTTGGTACTATTGAAGAGTTTATCAGATTTATTTGTTCACTTTCTTGGTTCAAGACATATTTTGTTCTGGCAGAGTTTTCTTCCTGTGCTTCTATTAATTTCCTTTTCCTCTTTTGTATAGTATTAAATATATTAACCAGTAGTTTCACTAGCAACCTTTGTGGCTTCCCTTGGTGTTGATGTATGGGATCCCATGAAAATGGGTTCCCACTCCACTGATGAGCAAACTCGTGATCAGTGGGTAAAAAAGGAACAAAGCGTATGCAAGGGTGGGAATGAGTGTGTAAAATGAACATAAAAGTTAGGTGTTAAAATTGAGGGAGCGACTTCTGTAACAACAGCACGCTCCTAAACTCAATTTAAAATTGTAAAAAATATATGTTATATATTATTA